AAATAAACGTTGGGTAAGGGCAAACCCGTTATATAATTAACATCTCCCCAACGCAAAAAAAAAAAAAAAAAAAAAAATACATCTTGATAACAGTCTTCGTTACTTGATCGGTTACATTTTATTGCATAAATCCAACACTGGAACAAAAGTTAAAAGCCCCAGATCTCATACTATAAACAGAGCCTACGAAACGCAAGCCAACGTGTTGGCTATAGTGGGGTTTGTAATGGAAACAAGGTTACTGATAGTTTGGACAAACTCTCGGTAAGTGTGCAGGGATAGTTTACCCCTGGGTTAAAAACTTCCCGATGAAAGCCCAATTGTACCCCATTTTCAAAACAGGACTCCCCGATTCCACACCACCAAACGCCCGACAAAAACCCGGTGATGACCAGATCTGTTCATCTCCACGATCGTCCAAGGGCCGCAGCGTCCTCGACGTCCGTCAAGCAGAACAGCAACAGAGCACCGCCAGTCAAATCAGTCCAGTTTGCTGTCGGTGAGACGCATTCGAGGCCGTCAAAAGGCATGTCTAAGTACTCCAGCGACCACAGCGGACAAACTTTTTCTCGACCGCCTAACGCAGAACGGTAAGACGACTAAAACGGCGATGAATGGTTTGCGTTTTTCTGTTAACTATTTTTCCACATTCTGGCATGTCAGCATGAGAGTGTGGCTGAGAAAGTTGTTATAATGTCCTGTAATTTCGAAATCTTCGAAACGTTCAGCGTTTCGAGTGCATTCATAGAGTCTTTCTAGTTTGAAGAGAAAAAGAAGTTTAGCCAGGAAAGTTCAAGCCGTCAGGAACTGTTGTCTTGTTCAAGAAAAGGATGTATGCTAGTTTTTCATTACACGAATCCCATCCGTTATCACCACTGAAAATTATAGATTCAAATAATTGGGCAACAGAATGTTTCTCGACAGAGACTGCCTTCAGCCACTTTTGAAGTACTCTCCGGCCCAGTTTTTTTCTATTTCTTCTATACTACTTCTTGTGCATTTGGAAATTTTGTTTCAAGCAGGAAAGTTGCCATACCATATTAGGTGTTTAATTTCTGAATATCCGAAAAAAACAAATGGCTGTATTTCGTTTGTGCTCTTTCAATCACAGGCATACTACGCAAGAATCTTTGCTGTCTTTGAAAAGTGCCTTAAGATCACAGGATAATTTTGCTGACGATCGACAAACACTTGCCTCAGAAAAAAAGATTAGTGCTAATGACACAAAAAACGATTGGTCAACTCCAAAGCGGAACACGACAAAGTCCGCTTCGACTGCATTCGTGAGTGACAAAACGACAGTTGTAAATCAACCTGCAGAAATCGGGTCCGCATCGTCAGACGATTTGTCATCAGAGAGCAGAAGCCAGTCGACGCCAGGGTTGGATCAAAAAGAAGTCAACAGTTTGACAATCGATTATCTAAACGACAAACTCCGAGCGATGGTCGGCCTACAAGTCCAACATCCTCAACGATTAGAGTTCATGAAAGAGAAAGAACACGAAGAACTACGCAGTTTCTGGCCAACCAAGAGGACAAGGAAACCCACTCCGGAGGAGAACGAGCAAGCTTTTCGAGACTGGCTGGCGTCCAAGACACAAGACGCCAGGGACAGAAGATTGGCCGACAGAGTCGGAAGGATGCTGGACGACGCCTTCGGCAAGAAGGACGAGACACTGATAGCAGGCGAGGACGAGGACGAAACGCCGAAGAAAGCACCACTGAAATTCGAGGCCTGGGCCGAAAAGAAGGCGTCCCAACAGCAACAGCAATCGGCCAAAGCAGCGGCAGAGTCATCTAGACAAGAGCAGAGGAAGACGGAGCAGCTAGCCGCCCGCCTGGGTAACGGAAAACCAATGGAAGCCTGGTTGGCCGAGAAGCTGAAGAAGAGGAGACAGGAGAGGATAGCCGAGAAAGAGCGGGAGACTGAACGACAGCGCCTGAAGGCGGAGCGGGAGAAGGCCGTCGAGGGCGTCTTCCAGAAGTGGTGCATGCAGAAGGAGTGGGAAGAGCTGCAGAAGCTGAGGGGGAGGCTAAACTCTGGATGCAAGAGACGCCCCAGGTCCGGGAATAACAAAACGAAAGCGCATGGCTCAAGCGCCCATACCGCAACGAGGCGGACTCGAGCTCACTCTGCGCCGCCTCGGAGGCAGCAAGTGCCCCCTCTATAGTCTCAAGCAAAAGACAGTCGCTGTAACTCCTGCGAATTAATAGAATTCAGCGCTGTGTGATGTTTAAAAACAGTGCCGTCTTTTAAAAACGATGGGGTTTGCAAAATAATGTTGTGCATTTCCATTTTTCAGCTGGTTCAGCCATCGTAAATACTACTCTTGCCATTTCTCCTTTAGTCCCCTTGGGATTATAATCGGATTCCCATTGCCTATATAATCTTGTCAAATTTGCGCGTAGCAGTGGCGTATATAATTATTATATTTAATAATTTTTTTCCTGAAATCGATTCCACATTTTTTCATTTATAACAGATTTTTCACCCCGCCCTCACGAAATTTGATATATAGTAACGTTTCGAAAGAATTAGCGCTTTCAATTACTAAAGACGAAGCAGCAGCAGCAGCAACATGCTGGGGGAAAGAGGGAGGTAACTTACCCCCTGTCCCCGGCTAGACACGCCTGTAGCGCGCACCAAAAGTCACTTTGTGTTGCTTGGATGGTTCAAAAATATCGCCTGGCTATCTTTGACAGATCAAGAGAGGGGATTTTAAATGTTTAAGTTTAATTGCACGGTGGCTTATACAGCTTGCGGAGAATTCACTTCGCCAAATTAACGACAACGGACCGTGTTTTTGTGTCAAGTAAAGTGGAGTTTGATGAAGGGGAGGGGGAACATTCCGATATGTGACAGAATGGAAGGGCCAGGTTCGAAGAATTCACGCTGTCGTAAGATAAAGCAGTAATGACATCCCTTCAAGTATTATTCGCCTTGTTAATTTTTTGAATTGAGAATCGGGTTGTTTTACCAGAAAGCAGCATTTGTGTTTGTTATCATAAAAGGAACCAATTAAAAATTAATTGAATGAAAACTCGCCTACGAGTAAGCAAGGGGTTATTCTGTTCGTCTTCATTTAGCAGCAGGGCTTAAGTCAAGTCAGATTCAATCTTCTCAGAAAAACGTTTTGGACAATGGGGTTTAATAATTTGTAGTGCTATGTTTCAGACAATCACTTGCCACCTAAAAATGCTGATATTATAGATGAACGAGCCGTTCTTCATTGGCGAAGCTGTGGTATCCGGCGCTTTTGTCGAGCCAAAATTAACCTGCTGCTATCTTATCAGAGTGATAATGGAGAAATAATATATTACATTAAAAATAAACTCTATAATGATCAAAGATACACTTGAGATGTACTCTTTGATTGAAAACAGGTGCAAATACAAGCGAGAAGCCCGACAGAATTACTGTACGACACACCATTCAGATGAACCATGTCTGGTACACAAATCTTGATCAAAAGTTTGAACAGCGAGGTTCAGATTGTCGATACTAACCAGGTCAGTGCAGTGACGTATCTGACTGCCATTTCCTGCAGAAGGCATTAATCTCTTGCCACTGTCCTACGAAAGCCCAAGTATGCCATGAAGAATACATTTTCACAAAGTGAACTACAATTTTCTCCTAAAAGATCGTTTTATGAAATATATTTATACGTTCGGTTTAACAAAATCTGTTTTTAGAAATTTTTTTCCATTTGTGAAAAAAATGGTTTTTACAGGTACAGTTTTTCATTTTCGGTTTAAGGAGATACATATTTATCTTTTTCCCAAGCTTGTTTTTACCCTTGTGCAATTGACGCTTTTTATTACACATGTTTGCCGCGTCTGTGCTCTCATGCATGTCTCATGCAGTCTAGCAGTCCCTGCTCCACTGTTGACATTCAAATGAGGCCAAAAAGAGTCTTCCCTTTTTCGCAACCAAAGTTCAACGGATGATTTAGTTACATTGTTTGCAGGTTAAACACAGATGGTGAAAAAATATTTTGCTCGTTCGGGTGCTTTTAACATGGCCACTTCCGGAAAGCCTGGTGGAAAACGCAGCATGTGAAGGCAGCATTTGTGGAGGTAGGGTGCATTTAGGCCTCTCATACTCGACAGAAAGGTTGGATTCTTGGACGAAATGGGTATTAAAAGATCGATTTCATTTCCCCTTGATGCATAACTTTTCTTCCTGTCTTCCACCAAGACCTTTTTTCCATTCGACGTGATGTATGATTGTATTATAAAAAAGTGCCATTGTGTCTGGAGTTTAGTGTGTGGCCAAGTGGTGTATTATTCAAGCAGTCAATATACACGTACATGAGAAATTGCCCCAGACGCCATGTTGTCAGAATAAATCTGAGTTGCCAAGTTGAGAGGGCATTATATCAGACTGGATAAGGGCCTACGCCTGCTTACTATGCAGGCGTCGAGGCGAGTGGAAACAATTCATTTTGGCTCCCATATTGGAAGAGAACTCCGAATATTACATACATAAGTTTATGTCCTTGTTTGGAACAGGAGAGGCAAAATCATGTTTGGTCCCGTGTACCAACAGTTAATTATGGCAAGAAAACTGTTTGAATGTCGTTTCGTATTGTACTTCAGTGTCTTAGCTTATTGGATTTGCCTTTCCTGTTATCCAAAAACTTCAACTCCCGTTTCAATTTGGAACATTTTCTCTCTTTTCAAATACTGAGAGCTTCTCAAATGATTTTGGACCCGGGGATGAAATCGTATTAAGCCCAAACCAATCCGAGGTCGGGTAAACGGCCCTTAGCCTATTCTTTTATCCTAATCAATTCCCCACCACTCTTCTGTGTTTTTGTTTCTCTTTTATTTCAATCGCTCGTCACGACAATTCTTATACATGCTGGACATTCTATAAACGCAGAACCTGTTTCATTCTGGTCCCATCCACAATGCCACGCGTCTTGAGCAGCAAATCGACCTTACTGGGTGTCTTGACTGGAGTGACGTTGCTGGTGTCTTTCAAACTTGCGGATGCTAGTGAGTAATTGCTTAGTTGTTCACGCTCTTGACAAGGTACAAAAGGTACCTAAAATGACAGCGTTTAGCCCGTCATCAAGTCGAAAAAAAATTGCTAGACTAACAAGGCTGCATGTCTTCGGTTCGTTTACCCCGTCGAAAACTTAATTTTACAAAACAGATTTCAAAACCTCATAAGCAGGCGCGGATGGGGGGGGGAGCCCCTGGGACGAAAAAAAGGTTTGAAAGTGGGGCAAAAAATCCACAAAAATGAGACATTAAAAAAAAACTCCGGCGGCCCCCCCCCGGAAATTTCTTGGATCTGCCCCTAGTAAGTTACTCTCTAAGCCTATAAAGCCGGGCACTGAGTTTCGATTGTGTTATTTTGCAACTTACGGTGCTTGTTTTCCCTACGTACCAGTAGCAAAATCGGAAATATGCGGAAATCTTGAGCTTTGCTTACAACAATTCCCTCAAACAAGATCTACAAGGCACGCACGCCAGTAACACTAAAAATCTTGTTCCACTGTCGAACAGGTACATTCGCACTGATTGCAGACCTAGAAAATGGCACCATTTACAGGGGTTACCTAAGCCAGAATCTTGCCGACCTGACGCCCCTTCCTCTCAATGGTGTCATGCGCCCCGTGGCAGTGGACTATGACCCGGTCGAGGGCATGGTATACTGGACCGATCAGCGGAGCGAATCTGCCCCCAAGATCTGCCGCGCGCACCTGGACGGCAGCAACCAGACGACTGTCGTGGGAGACCTGACGGGTGAGGCTACATGAATTCGATGACCCAGGCCAGATTCCTGGATGCAGTTTCAAATGGGTCATGGCACAGGACAATCTAATTCTATTTTCTCCTAGTCAAATTACAGTACCCAAAGCTATAAGGCTCCAGTCTTTGGTGTCGAATCTGATATCTTGAAATCGTATAGCTTTATATTCAGCGTCCAGATGGGTGAATGCGATTCAGCAGGCTCCATAATTTACCCACGAGGCACACGATCACGTTCAGGGATTCATGTAATGAATTCACAACACTTCTTATCGAAATACTATACCCTTTGCATTTACCACAATGGATGCAGTTCGGAGATGACTTTTGACGCTTTTAAAAAAGGAATCTTTGTTACTTCATTTCTGTCTTGGAAAATAGAATATCGGTCCTACAACATGACGTGTCCTCCAAAGGTACACGGAAAGTGGGAGAGGTAAAATACCAGAACTGGTTCTGAATCAGCGATGAACAGATTGAATTAATGAACAACGTTCCGTTATCTAGCAAGCACACTTTTGTTCGAGCTCCTGGCGTGTAGACGCCTCCCGGGTCAAACTGTTTATTTTTCCAATGCCCTCACAGAACGAATGAAGATTTTTTTCTGAGTGAAGCACGAGTTATCGCAAGCCTTAATAATACATATCCAAATACTATACTTCGAAGTCTGTCCTTTATCTCTCCATCACTGCTTCACAACCATTTGGTACAATTTTTTTCTGTCCCAGTTTCTGTCCATCATCATGCTGAGGTCTTCCGTCATGTACTTGTAGGTTTTAAACTTGCCACGAAATGCCTCATCAAACTTGGTGCCCGTGTAAGAGCTGACGTCTAGATCCTATCTCTTACAGATCCGGGCGGGATGGCGCTGGACGTCGCGTCTAGGATGCTGTACTGGACGGATGGTGCCCTGGCTCACATAGGGCGGGCCCGTATGGATGGCACGGGGAGCAAAGAGATCCTTCTCTCGGAGAATCATTACAATCCAAAGGGTATTGTGGTCGACTCAGTCCACGGGTAAGGGCGAATGCAGACTCCACCAATGATTGTTTAGCGCCGCGCAGCTCTATACAATCTTTGAACTCAAGCTTTCAGGGGGGGGGGAGATAGGGAAAACAACTTGTTGGTTTATTCATTTCTGGGGGGTGGGAGTGGAGGTGGACATGCCCCGTTCGTCCCCCACCAGATTCCGCAATTTCAATAGGTAAGTGTAGGCCTATCAGTCAAGTGGTGCTCCACTACCGCAGTAGTACTCTGGAAAATATGTAGCCATGTTCTTATCAACATAATGCATAAAAATTGAATGAGATATGCTTTTTGCAAAGCTTTACTAAAATCACGCATCAATGTGAGTTCCTCGTTATATATCTATCGCAACAAAGACAAACCAAACAAAATGTAAGAAAATCATAATAATTATGACCATACAACTGATGTTCTCTGTTAGTGACATCGTCAGCACCACTTAATATTTGTGACCCGCTTTGCGAAAAGGGGTATTAAGGGACACTGTGCGATTTCACACTTAGGGCTTTTTATGTGGACAGGGTGATTTTTACTTCTTGGTTTATTGGCGTCTATTATATCAATACTTTCACAATTCATACAAGAAACCTAACTGTTGCTGTGGGTATCAAAAGACTTTTTTCTTGGCTGATTTCTTTTTCCACTTCCTGTGTTTAAAGGGCTTTATCTCTGAGAGCAATTCTGGTAATGTGTATGATATGATGATGCAAAACTCAATATAGGCCTATCTTCGGATTGCAAAATGCCACAGGGTTTAAGCCTACGCCAAATTAAAGCTTATGGTGTAACCAAGTCAAATGTGTATGTAACTCATTTTGAAAAAAATGTCATTTTTGTGGAGCAGGTCACATTCGGTTGTGCTTAATTTCAGGCACATTTTTTGGTCGGACTGGGGAGAAAATCCTCGGATTGAAAGAGCAGACCTGGACGGGAATAACAGGAGAATCGTGGTTCAAGGAGGTCTAAGTTATCCATCAAGCGTCACCATAGACTTTAACGGTAAGTCAAAGGGAAGCTTCAATGCCAATTTTTAAATTCAAACCTTCAAAATGCACCTTCACATCTCAGGTAACCTCATTTTCATTTTTTGTTTCACTGTTTTAAAGGGTATTTGCTGCCTCTTTGGTTTTATGCTAATGATATTTCCATATTCATAAGCAAAACTGTGATGTCATCCCAGGAAAGGAATCTCGATGTTGCACTTGTTTGTGCACTGTAAACTTGCGAATGTTTAAAAGAATTGCTGGCCTCAGGTTTCTTTTCTTTGATGATTAATTCTTGTGTAGGTACCAAGCAATAAGCAAACATGCAACCCTTTCTCGGAAATGTTTTCGTTGAGTTGATTAAATCGAACAGAAAACCTACTGAATTAGGTCTTCCCTGGATGGCGTCACAGCAACAGTGCCCTAAGTGGGTTGTCTAGCAAAGCAGTGGTAATTTTCAATGCTTAAAACTTGCAAAGGTGAGCCAGATAATTTTCATACATTATAAGTTGCGGATAAAGTGGGTCCCTGAAAATTCATTGCTGCTACACTTCAACAATGCGACGCATCGACACGGCGTGGGTACTTGGCTGGGCACCCAAGTGTACTGATGAACAAAACCACGCCTGGTGTTTCCGGGCAAAATGTTCAGTTCAGTGCATCTCCCAAGATCGAGTTAACGAAATTAACAACATGTATACAGTGAAGACAACAATACATTTTGACGTAATATATGAGTGCAGGATTAATCCGATTCGATGGAAACCTTAACGGTGCTGGCCGGCTCTTTACTGTTTTGTACGTAAACTTTGCATGACTGAGGCATCAAAAGGCACACGCCGGTCCGTTGTGTGTTATAGTGTGATTGTGCGAATTTCTTTGTCTCTCGTTTGGAGTTCAAGGGTCATAAATCACTCCTATAGGCACCAGCAATGTCTACAATCGAATGCTCATTGCTCGACCAATCCTCGTATCTTCCAATGCTCGGTTTTTCTAACCAGGAAACTCTTTGTATTGGATCGACGCTATTCACGACACAATTGAGACCAGTGATCTTTCGGGGAGCAATCGTAGACTGGTAGCCAATCTCACCGTCTACTCCTTGAGCTTTCCCTTCGATTTAGCCGTGTACGGTGACTATGTGTACTGGACGGAATGGGGCATGTACCCGACCATCCTCCGAGTCCATCTTGACGGGAGAGGTGCTGAGACAATCGGCCCATCAATCTTTCAGATGCCTGGTGGAATTCACATCCAAGAAGGTTTGACATTTTTTGAAGAATTTAATATTGTTCACATGAGAACGGCTGACTTATACACTAACGGACCCCCGGCATTTGTTTTATTTTGTTAATATTGATGAATACGCCTATAATTACAAAACGTTTGGACAAGTCCCTGTCATCTTATTAAGTTTTTGACCATGTGCCAATTGAGTCGAACGCCCAACTCACGGCGCAGCGCAAAAACCAGCCCTTTTCTACCGGTAAAAGGAAGTACCATTGTTCCGTTCCAAGAAAATTTGAAATAGTAGGCCTACGCATTTATTCAAGAGGGGGATGATTTATTCTCACTTAGGATCTATCCAGACGTTGTACAGAACGTGCAACAGTACTGAATAGTCGTGCAATGGAAAGTTACACTAAGGAATGTACCATCACCATTTACCTGTTGGAATGGAACGGTCTGTCTGTAATACGCCAAGAGGTTATTCTGACCTTTGAAATCATGTCATTATTTGGATAATCAACGGGTGCTCTGGAATCATACTAGCCCCCTAAACTAGCAAGTGTAAAACCGTCAAGCTTGGACAAAGAATCGGTTGTGTCTATTCTCATGTACGGTGTTTATTTCTTATCATATCGTCTTAAGATAGAAGGGGACTACATTTTGGATTGTGTTTCGTAACTCTTTTCTTTTCGATCTGTGTGGATTTTTTTTACTAAAGAGGAGGAAGTTGACAGCACGCCTCCGGTCGTCACCGGCTGTCCGAATGAAGGCGTATTCAAGGCGGTCCCTTTGGGTTACACCTCAGCCAATGTAACTTGGACACCTCCGACAGCCAGTGACGACTCTGGAATGGCGTCTGTCACAATGTCGTCCAACCGCGTACCGGGACAGAGTTTCAACCTTGGTAGGACTCACGTGCAGTACAATTTCACTGATGCGGCCGGCAACCAAGCGTTCTGTGACTTTGTTGTCACAGTCTCGGGTAAGATTCCCTTTTTTAACCGTCAGCCCTGAACGTCATTAGTAGTTCGTTTATTTGAGGCATCTGCAGGCAGGTTTTAGATATGAAGATGGACATGCAGGTAGTCAATGCATGCCTTTTTGCTCAGATGCAAGAACCAAACACAAATCAAAAAATCATAAATCAAGCCTAAAAACCGGGTACAAAAATATTCAGTTTTCCAAGCACCCGATCCGACTGTCATTTTTTTATTTGTTAATTGTGATTTTTAATTACGAAAGTTGAATCGTTGACTTCTAATGGATATTGGAGAAATGAGTTGATCTTTTTCGTCAATTTAGCCGTGGATTCTACAAATCCGACTATCAGCTGCCCGCCGACCATCGTCCGCTATGTCCGTTCTGCAACCCAGCAACTTCCCGTGTCTTGGCAGTTTCCGACCGCATCTGATGACAGTGGCAACCAGCCGACTATTACGTCAACTCCAAACTATCCAACCTCGTCTGGGACATTCGGTGCAGGCATGCATTCTGTGACATACTTAGCCCGAGACGGAGCAGGGAACCAGGCATCTTGCATCCTGACGATTAATATCATTCGTAAGTACACAAATGAGCGTGCAGCAGAAATGGGTCACATGATCAGCAAACGAATCATATTAATGCTGAGGATGGTTTCTATCGAAATGAAAGCTGGTGAAATTTTGATTCCAATCAACTTATTTTGATTACAAGAGTGATTCTTTCGATTAGGCCTGAGGTTCTCGACAATTCCAAGCCATTCAGAGATGCCATAATTCAAGTCTTTGACGAGCTTGCTTGTTTTCTCTTGCTTGTGACTCAAGTGGATTCCCGAATTCCTACAATCACCGGCTGCCCAGGCCGTACAATTGCTGTCCTTCCACCGGGCAGTAGCAGCGTGGCTGTCTCGTGGACCGAGCCAGTCGGTGCGGATGACAACGGAGTGGTCAACATGACTCGGAGCCATCGGCCAGGAAATACGTTCACTCTTGGAAACGCAACCGTCACATACACTTTCACCGATCAGGCTGGTAACCAAGCCACCTGCAGGTTCACCGTCAGTGTTTCTAGAGGTCAGTACATGGTATATGTACATGCTGTCAAAAACTAGAAGTGATGCCTGAGGGTGTTTGACCTCATATCATATTGTAAATTACAACTATCTATAGATTAGATGTTCACACTGTGATAAGGAGCGTGTACCCAGGCCACAGTGTTAAACAATACCAATCGATTGAAAATGCGCAGTATACCTGCATCCATGTCGCTCAATAGAACGTTTGATATAATTTGATCTGGGAACCATAGGCAGACTAACTGTCATCTCCCTTGGGTTAAGTTCGCTCGTGATAAGAAGCATAAACATAATTGCCAACAACATGTGCATTCCTTCAATTTCAAAATGATATCGTGTTATCCTGTGCGTAGTTCCAACGTTTTAAGACTTTGTCTCACAATTTTGAATATTTATCAACAACTTTGATCTTTTACATTCTTTTGTCGTTGATATTCAAGGGGATGTTACTAGCCCTGTAATCAGCTGCCCGCCGACCATCGTCCGCTATGTCCGTACTGCAACCCAGCAACTATCCGTCTCTTGGCCATCTCCGACCGCGTCTGATGACAGTGGCATCCAACCGACCATTACATCAACTCCGAACTATCCAACCCCGTCTGGGACATTCGGTGCAGGCATGCATAGTGTCGTGTACTCAGCAAGAGACGAAGCAGGGAACCAGGCATCTTGCACGCTCTGGATTAATATCATTCGTAAGTACACAAATGAGCGTGCAGCAGAAATGGGTCACATGATCAGCAAAATGATCAGCAAACGAATCACATTAATGCTGAGGATGGTTTCTGTCTAAATGAAAGCCGGTGAAATTTTGATTCCAATCAACTTATTTTGATTACAAGAGTAATTCTTTCGATTAGGCCTGAGGTTCTCGACAATTCCAAGCCACTCAGAGATGCCAAAATTCAAGTCTTTGACGAGCTTGCTTGTTTTCTCTTTCTTGTGACTTAAGTGGATTCCCGAATTCCTACAATCACCGGCTGCCCAGGCCGTACAATTGCTGTCCTTCCACCGGGCAGTAGCAGCGTGGCTGTCTCGTGGACCGAGCCAGTCGGTGCGGATGACAACGGAGTGGTCAACATGACTCGGAGCCATCGGCCAGGAATTACGTTCACTCTTGGAAACGCAACCGTCACATACACTTTCACCGATCAGGCTGGTAACCAAGCCACGTGCACGTTCACCGTCAGTGTTTCTAGAGGTCAGTGCATGGTACATGTACATGCTGTCAAAAACTAGAAGCGATGCCTGAGGGTGTTTGACCTCATATCATACTGTAAATCACAACTATCTATTAGATTCGACGATTTTCACACTGTGATAAGGAGCGTATACCCAGGCCGTTTGATATAACTTGATGTGGGACCGTTTTCCAATACTCAACTTCGGCTCCGTGTCAGGCTTCAACTGTTTTTTTTAACTAGCTGACGTTGAAGTTGTAAGCGCAGTAATTAGTTTAATAGTGCCATAAAACATCAAATAAGATGCAAGAGAGCCAAAAATTACAGTAATCCAATTTAATTTAAACGCTTCAGACAACCAATCGGGGATTGGTTTTGGGAACCAAGTCTGAGACGGAGCCCAAGTCGAGTATTGGTAAAGGGCCTGGGAACCATAGGCAGACTAACAGTTGCCATATTTTGTCTATTTTACGCCTGTGCGTACACCCTTCACAGGAAAACTTTGTTCCGAATGCTTTTGTGATATATTTTCTACAAATAGGACATAATTATTCAAAACCTATTGACTGGATACACAAGGAATTTGTGAATGAAAGTTTAGCTGCTGCCGTGAGGCAAAAGTGTGAAAAAAGTGTTTGAAAAGTTTCGCTATGGAAGGCTGACTAGATCTTCTGGATCTAGACGTCAGTTGTCACGTATGAAGACTTCGTGGCATCTTACCTGTGTTAAGTTCGCTCGTGATAAGAAGCATAAACATAATTGCCAACAACATGTGCATGCCTTCAATTTCAAAATGATATCGTGTTATCCTGTGCCTAGTTCCAACGTTTTCGGACTTTGTCTCACAATCTTGAATATTTATCAATAACTTTGATCTTTTACATTCTTTTGTCGTTGATACTCAAGGGGATGTTACTAACCCTGTGATAAGCTGCCCGCCGACCATCGTCCGCTATGTCCGTACTGCAACCCAGCAACTATCCGTCTCTTGGCCATCTCCGACTGCGTCTGACGACAGTGGCATCCAACCGACCATTACATCAACTCCGAACTATCCAACCCCCTCTGGGACATTCGGTGCAGGCATGCATAGTGTCGTGTACTCAGCAAGAGACGAAGCAGGGAACCAGGCATCTTGCACGCTCTGGATTAACATCATTCGTAAGTGTGACAAATGGAAATATGGTTCAAGTGCAACACCCACGTTAAATCCCGGAACAAAACTTGAAACAGCCTAAATAGGCTTGGAAGAAGTTGTCAACGAGTTCTCACGCAACAGACCACTGACCCACGTTGTTCACTATGCGCAGAGATCACTTCCAATTTGTGCCTACTCCGGCAGCTGACGCGCTGCAGTGCGAAGTGCAAGCATTACACAGAATTACAGAGTGTTAGAGTGTGACATTGCTTCAGTACTTTAAGAGTGGTTATCCTCTTAATGGCGAAGAGAAAACTACGTTTGGAGATTTTGAAGAGTAGAAAAAATAATCCCAAGAGAAATTAGAAAAAAAAGTAACGATGAAATGAAGCTGAACGTCACCAGACCAAACCACAGCTCGGGTGGAATCTTCTCGTTGACATTTTAAAGTTAATTTTCTAAAGTGTTTTACGTTATACACACACCGTCCACATTAGAGATTGCCCTGATTAACACAATGATAATTAAGTGTATTTGGCGCTTTCTTGCACCTTCATCGCCCCGAAGTGGACTCCCAAGCTCCAACAATGGCCGGTTGCCCAGGGACCACGGTCGTATCGACGGGTAACAGAAGCGTGGATGTTTCGTGGACCGAGCCAGTCAGTATTGATGCCAACGGAGTGGTCAACATGACTCGGAGCCATCGGCCAGGAGATAGGTTCGCTGTTGGAGACACCTTCGTCAGATATACTTTCACCGATAGGGCTGGAAATCAAGCCACGTGCACTTTTACCGTCAGAGTTGGTCAGTATAGGCCTAAATACTGCACCCGCTGTCCTTGTTTTTCAAGTATAATTTTTGACACTGAAGGGCGTTTGACCACGTTACGTTCGATTTCGTGTCATCATAAAAGTCTGACGTGTGTATCACACCGGAAAGGATGCCACTACACAAAATACCGAGAGGAAAATACTGTCAAGTTGGGATTTCCTCCAAGAAAATTAATTTCGTTCACTTAAAAGTGAAACACCATACATATGACCCAATCATGTCAAATTCAGCTACGCTGCTGATTGATTCTGTTCAGCCAGCATGCTCGAACCCAGGATTTTGTTTGCTCATTGCAAAATGGAGAATTTTATTCGAATTTAACTTGTTTTCTCTGTCCCTGTTTTAGCAGCATTCCGATTTTTGCCCATTACATCTTCATCCCTTTGCAACCTGGCACTCTTACCATAAGCCCAATGACGTTTTTGGTTGCCAAAGCCAGCCATGAATGAGTCTACTTAGCCCATCAATATGAATAAACAAGACTTGCATGATTAAATTGATGATTCATATTTAAGAAAGAATTAACATCTGGAAAAATTAGGTTTGACATTTTTTTTCAACACTTGAGCAGAAACACTGAAAATTAACACACTATCCATGTATCGAATTTCCCAGGCATTTGTCAGGGTAAATTAAAGGGTCTTTTGGCGTCTTATTCCCGACAGTTGCTGGTTGTTTGCTAACCCCTGACCAATTCGATCACCTAGAGGTGGTATCTGGTCAGCAGTCCGTGTACCTTCCTGGAGAGTCAGTACAGCTTACCTGTCAAGACGGGTACCAGCTTAGCGGATCAGCCAGTAGGTTTTGCCGGTCGGACCTCACGTGGTCGGGAGAGCCTGCAGTTTGCGTCCAACAAGGTAACGCTCATGTTTGCCACTTTTCCTTTTTTCCGCCCGATTGGTTATCTGCGTTGAGCACGAGAGCTCAGGAGTGCTCTTTTTGTTGGTAGCTATGCAACTGCAGCGCTTCCGTTTCATAGCCGTTCGTGAACCAGCGATGCACAGTCACTATAAGAAGGAGCCTCCTTCGCTATACTAGGAAAATTGCGCCCTCTCTTGGTCCAGCTCGGAGTCCATACACTCTGTGTAGTATTCCCAGTCAGTGGTTTGCCTTTCTCACTGATTTTTTTCCCAATTAAACCTCCAAATTGTGCATTTGTTGACCTCACGGGGGGGGGCTGTACTTGTGGGGTCTTTTTAGAATGTTCTTATGAAGCTTTCCAACAGGCAAACTATCCTCGTTACACAACTGCATAATGTACTGTAGGCAACAAGATCGTTGTTTATACTATGATTAATTAACGCTGAGGCTATGAATTAACAAAAACCAAAGACTTCTTACGAGTGAACTTAACAGGCGTAGCTCATGAAGGAACCAGTGAGGAGAAAACGTGCGAACTTTACATTTTGAAGGTGGAGAATAGATTTCACGGACGGGGGGCACCGGTGTGCCGACCTGGGGTAGAAACCTGTCACGGGGCAAAGAGAGAGTACTGCCGCGGCGTGCCGTGGTATCCTGTTCTCCACTTGCCAGAAAGACACTTTCTAATAAATGCCGGCACTTGAAAGGATACATGAACGATGGAGACATTTCAAAAAGTGGGACGTCTCCTGAAAATTAATGGACAACTCTTCCCTTTCCCCCTTTTAAGGGGAGCCCATGGGAGGAACTGTGGTAGGGTTTGGAGCTGGGGCCTCTGGAGTTTTGCTTCTAATTCTACTGCTGCTGGTGGTTATCTTCTTAATTAGGAGGTAGGTTCATTTTGAAATAGTGTATAAACGAGGAATGTGAATGCCTGTGAAACTCTGCTCAAAGGAAATCTTAAAACCTAACCACAGTTTGAAATTCTCGACAATTTTACAGGGGCTCTTTAGATGCGTAGCCCAAGGTTTTTTCGAGCTTCTGAAAACCCACTTATGACTGGGGAGGAAATGGTTACTTTTCTATCTTTGATCCTGTTCCGTCATGGTGCATTTAACACGCAACTTGTGTCGGTCCTGTTGTTGATGTCTCAATTTTTACAGACAAGTTAATCCATTCGGATTGTTGTTTTCATATAAAGGCGGAAGAAAACTAGAGTGAGGGCCCCGGATTTAGCAATCACAGCCCAAATCACTACCCAGGGGGACCTGGGGATTTACGATAACCCACAACCGGTGTACGAGACTGTAGTTAGGGGAGCGGCGGCACCACCTCCCAAGGAGGAAGAGACTGCCCTGAGCGAGGTGAAGCCCCCTCTTCCGTCGACTCCAACGCCGGGGTACCCGCCGCCGAGTTACGAGTACGCCCATGCGGATCGGCACAATTACAATCTACCGCCTACCTATATCCCAATGGAATGACTTCTTTTGACACGCTGTACATGTATGACCAGGATCAGTGCTGCACAGTCGCAGTCGTTTTTTTTTATCCGTCACGCCCCTCACTTTTGAATAACATATACCACTTGTCAAAGAAATTAACTGTGAAGAAAGATAGTCGTGTCAATGAATTGGTTGTTTAGGATTTAGTTTCTGATATTTAGGTTTCTCGAAATCGAAAGGACTACTCATGAACAGTTTTCGGTTTAAAGTAATCAGTAGATTTCTCACAACATTTTTTGCTGTGCCACAATTGTGCCTAATTAAATTGACTGTTTACTTGGGCAGAAACGCAATAATTTTCTTTAATACTTTTTTAGTATACAGCACGCGAGGATTTCTTTATTTCAGATCATCACTTTCAAAACACTTTGTAATGATTGTATCCATGAGTGTTGTTATATTCAGATATTACTCAGTACAGTCGACTCTCATTTTAAAGAACACTGTTATAACAAAATACTATTATAAAGAACACATTTCGAGAATCTAAATTTCTTAAATTCTTATCCTTTTCTTTATTTTTCTGTTTCGCTTATGACAAAGTCCTGTTCATAATAAAGTAATTTGCATGATCCATGTAACTTTTTTATAACAAGAGTCGACTGTGTAATGATTATACCCAGCAATACCTATATGTACATGCTAAAGGTGTTAGCACATGAAACGAAAACTTAATTGGACGAAGCTATCTGTCATTTTGCACAAACACATGTGCCATCAATTCCAATAAGCATATGCAAAGAGGAAATGTAATGACAGGTTAAATGTTTTGAAATTTCAGTTTTTGTCAGTAGCGTAACAACGGGTCGGGGGGGGACACGTACCCTCCAGCGGAGGTCCATTCCTCTAAGGAGCCCCTCATTAGAAATGCAGATAGTTTAGGTACAAAACCGCAGTATATTCGCTGTCAGTGTTCCTTGAGAGAATGGGTGCACCCTAGGTGTCCTCTTTGTTCGCTCATCAGTTCACTCCCGATTGAAACTAAACAAACTAAACGAAACTAGACGAATTTGAGGGAACTTTCTTCACTCCAGTAAATCAAGATATTAACTCGTATTTCACCTGAAAGGGGTTTCTTTTTTCAAGCTGTTTCGATTCGACTTCAGAGTGTGTTTCACTCTAAAAACTTCCCAGCCTCTATTTTCATTTCTCCCGGTTCTTCTGATTTAAAGAGTATGTCACTGTTTTTTTCTGTTGAAGAAAACAGGCCATTGTCATTAAGAGATTATAGCCTTCAACATTTTTATTTTAATAAATCAATTTTAGCTTCAACCAGACTCAAAATCTCTTTTAATCCATAAGTTTAAATGTTCACCCTTCCGGTTCTTCTTTCAGTTTTAATGCGTTTGGTATGGGTTTACGGCCATAACGACGTCTTAACGGCTTCTAATCTAACGATACGCAACACGATACATGGTAAAGGGGACCCCTAATATGTTGTATAAGCCATACATGACTAGATTATGGTACCTACTGCATGCCCCTTAAAATCTGAAAGGAATTCCCGAGAAGATTCCCCTTTGCCACATTTTATCATGTATCACAATGGGTATGACCTCCTCTTGTAAAAGAATCCCCACTTTCTCGTCGTCCAGAACACTACTGTAAATCTTTGAAACGTAAGCGATCTCTTCATCCTCACTGATTGTTGCCTTGTGCTGCCGGCAACACACCACGCCTGGTTGCTAATCTATAATCTCTACCTGTGAGGCTGTGACGTCACGCTATTATTTTCTAGCATATTGTGCACAAATGGAGCGAAAGACGCTGTACCCTCATTCTTTGGTGAGGTATCGTTTCCATCACTCAATTTGTACTGAATGATGGAGCTGCAAAATAGAAAGAAAATAAACATAAATTTACAGTGTAAATTTCCAATTTCAAATGCTGTCCAATCGAGCTTTGTATTGTTTTTTACACATTTGTGAATATCTGAAAGTAAACGTGAGCATCTCGTCAATGTGGTTGAATGTTGCATTGTACTGCCATACGCCTACAAGGCAAACTCGAATGGCTGCTTTTTGTTTGCACATTTTTTCTTTCTCGCAGTTTTCCAGCATCAAGTGCGAGCAAGCGTGCTGGTCTAATTATTGAGTCGCTAGAGGGTCACAAACTGCGATCGTTACCGAGCCCTAGAAGGCGCTTTCGAGTCTACAGGCCTACCCAGCAAGAAATGAGAACAAGGGGTACCCCCCCAACATGTCCAGTCCCTTTACACATTCCAGACTATTGTTACGTAACAATACGTTCCCCCCCAAGATGTCTGAAAGGAATTCCCCAGATTCCTGCGAGACAATGACCAACACAAAGCGGGGGGGGGGTTCTCTCCGTCTCATACCTTGCTGCATATGTTCGAGTGGAGCCAAGACTAGCTTGCGTGAGAATTACAGTACAGCATTACGTCACTGAATACGGGACAAAGAATAAAGCATTACACATGTGGGACGTGTATTCATTTCAAGAAATGGGTTTGGGCCTAAATTGACCAAACGCTAGTACTCCATTGGGCAAACCAATGAACGGTAGCAAAATAGCGGGATGTGGCAGGTCACTGAACTCTTTAAGTCGCATAATAGGCCTACCCAGGTACCCTCAGTACGTGCCATTCTTGGGTGCGAGTGACTCTTACCCACCAGCATCAGCTCATCATGCACTGCTGGAAAATTTGATTTGGTCGTTCAACAAAAAAGACTGAATTTTACCTTGGGCATTATCCTCTACTCGTATCAGCGCACTGCTGAAAGCCCTCGCCTGTGGTCCAACGCAAAAGACTATCTTTATAGTGGAACTGAAATGGCCGTTTCCGACGGTAGGGGCGGCGCGTCTGTGATGGCCGACGGAGGAGTGACGGGATGGATAGCTGTCTTGACTTTGTTTACCTTGAACATGAGCGGGATTGGAGTTACCAAAGGATTTGGTGTCCTGTTGCTGACACTGCAGGACCAATTGGCGTCGGCAACGTGGATCCTTGGTTGGATTGCTGCAATGGCTATTGCGACAAGTGGAATTTCAGGTAAAGTATGTCAGTTGTTTTGCCACGGAGATTTGATAGTTGTTGCCAGATGCGGTTCAGGAAAAGGAAATCGGCGGGCCTTGTGTGCTAACATCGGCATAATTATGAAGTTTTACTCGATCACACGTTTTACAGGTTTCTGTGGGTCGCCATTTGGCCCTCAAGACTGAAGAACCATGTTTCTAAAAATATACGGCACGAAACTTGAAGAAATGTTCAGCATGAAGTTTTCACTGACTTCCAGCTCCATGGACTTATTCCTGCCAAGCTTTACAGAGGAATCTGCTGGCCATGGCTCAGCCATTGCTGAACGTTCCTTCTGGCCCCTTTCGTGGACGGAAGACTCGTGTGATAACTTTTGTAAGCCGACAATACACTCCGAACAAAACTCCAAACCATACTTTCCACTTTTGGTTGCAGTGTTGTTACTCCGTGTCGGAGTAGACAGAATCAAGAAACATAAAAACAAACATTAGTTCCTCACGAGTTGAAAAAAGTGCTCGTGGCTTCGCCTCTTGACGCCTTTTGACTTGAGAGTCTTCGCTCCAGTCGCTCTAATACCAGTAAAGCTACGATTGTCACGGCGAAAGGCTACACGTTGGGTCGCACAAGTCTGTAATGCATAGTGGCATTCCTAGTCATACTGGTTACTTTACAAGAAGGATCACAATCCGGTGGGGATTGAATCGAGACGGAAATCTACAAGTACATGTATAATGCACGTGTAAGATCAAAAGGCACTTAAAAAAATTGATCTAAATGTACATAAATCTGAGCAAATCTTGTCTGCGACAAGAACGTAGGATAAAATCACCATTTTGGGGCACTCTCTGCTTCTCTCACCTAAGTACGTTAAGACGAAACCTAATCCACTCATGTTAATAACATCTGTGTTATGTGTACATATAATGTGATCTCTAAAAATGGAGAGTGAAGGAACACATATTCATGTCACGAAACAGCGACCTCCGCTATGCAAAATCAGCGTAACCATTATGTACGCATGTAACCCGCGAATCGGACTGTGCAGTTGAATAGTG